GAAATTATGTTGGTTGTCATTTCCTTCAAATCCAATCACATATTGCTACATTCAGTATTAACAACTTCCATGGCCAGAATCGCCTATATAAGGGCCAAGCATGGCCTGCACGCTAAATTCGCCTAGAACCCCGTAAACCCTAGTTTCGACTCTGTTGACTAGATCATCCTGGATAGTTATCTTTAGTATTTTTATTTCTTAAGATGACAATAAGCCAAGTCGTAAACCTCTTAGCTGACAAAAGAGGGCACCACCAGAAACTTTGGATTATCTTAATCATTGATTTCTTCGTTCAGTCGCTTTCAATTTTACATGATACTTACTGTAATCAAAATCCAGTTTGGATTAATGTAACTTCTGGCCAGAAAGAGCCACACTAGGATACATCGATATTTCACCCTTAATTATTTGAACAACGTTGCACTTTTGTCATTGGTACGTCCACTGTCGGGTGTTAGGATCGAAAATGCTTTGTTTGTTCCAATGATCTTGGGCCTGGCGTGGCCTGGTGATAGAGCGCTTGACTCCCAATTTGCGGGTTACAGTTCAAATCCCCATTGCCCAACATTCTCGCCCTTTCAGCCGTGGGGACGTTATAATATGCCAGTCAGTCCTACTATTCGTTGATAAAAAGCAGACCAAGAGCTGGCAGTCAGTGGTGCCTTCCCTCTAGTTTATCACTGCTAAATTAGGGACAGCTAGCACAGCCCATGAGTACAATTTAATCAGCGATTAACGGCAATTAATTGTGATGTTTTTCTTTCTTTCTTTGTTTTTTGTTATTTACAGCTTATCTGGTGTCGACTACTATGTTTTGTGCTACAATGTTAATGAACGGGTTTTTGGCGATCTTTATTTTAAATTGTCCGACATTTATTCACGATTTTTCTGTTATGCATGCCAGTCTTTTAACATTGCTGTAAACCTCAATATCTCCGAATTTCACATCTAATCATTCAAGTAAGGCTTAGGACCAACTTGTTCCACCATCGAGTCATTCAAGTAAGCCTTAGGACCACCTGTTCCACCATCTAGTCATTCAAGTAAGCCTTAGGACCACCTTGTTTCACCATCTAGTCATTCAAGTAAGCCTTAGGACCACCTTGTTCCACCATCTAGTCATTCAAGTAAGCCTTAGGACCACCTGTTCCACCATCTAGTCATTCAAGTAAGCCTTAGGAACACCTTGTTCCACCATCTAGTCTTTCAAGTAAGCCTCAGGAACACCTTATTTCACCATCTAGTCATTTAAATAAGCCTTAGGAACACCTTATTCCACCATCTAGTCATTCAAGTAAGTCTTAGGATCATCTGATTCCACCATATAGTCATTCAAGTAAGTCTTAGGATCACCTGATTCCACCATTTACACGTTCAAGTCAAAATTATTCAATTACCACTATATTATGGTAACCGAGCCACTTATTCCATTTTCTTCTAAAAAAAACATGGATCAATGTGATCCCTACTCTTAGAAGGAGCTTGCAAGGGGGGTGAATATTAATCATACTAATTGTTCGCGGTAATTAACCCCAATAGTTTGTCTCTCCTTCCTCTAGCCGTGGTTGTTAAGACAACGTTGAGCTGTGGTGGTATTAATGTAATAAAATGGACAGTCTTCAGTGTTCTGTTGAATTAGTGTGGTTCGTGTTACATACTTTCGGATGCTGTGTAACAGGAACCACGTTGACGAGAACGTATAGCAGTTATTTTATAGGAAAGAATTTATATTGGTTCATAAATTACGCATTATGGGCTAAGAACAAGGATAGAAATAAACCAGCAACCTCCTCCGTTGTCGAAGTTTTGTACTCGGTTACGGTTGTCTGCCTGGACTTTCATTTTCAAATATTGTAATTTCAATGAAATTACATCTAGTTTTGGTTTACTAAAATGGACACAACTAGCTTGCTCGTAGATGAAGTTATACAAAACTGCCAAAAAGAAAAAGAGACTTTAAAGGCTTGAAATAAGTTTCATTAACACATGTCTCGAATGATAACAATCAGGGTTAACATAACTAACATTCAACCTGCACGTGAACATTTCTTGTGGTAATCTATGTAGTGTTGTATTACTAGTAAGTTATCCGTGAACACACACACACGGGTAACGATCTATATAGTGTTGTATTACTAGTAAGTTATCCGTGAACACATACACACAGGTAACGATCTGTGTAGTGTTGTATTACTAGTAAGTTATCCGTGAACACACACACTGGTAACGATCTATATAGTGTTGTATTACTAGTAAGTTATCTGTGAACACACACACGGGTAACGATCTGTGTAGTGTTGTATTACTAGTAAGTTATCCGTGAACAAACACACGGGTAACGATCTATGTAGTGATGTATTGCTAGTAAGTTATCTGTGAACACACACACGGGTAACGATCTGTGTAGTGTTGTATTACTAGTAAGTTATCCGTGAACAAACACACGGGTAACGATCTGTGTAATGTTGTATTACTAGTAAGTTATCTGTGAACACACACACGGGTAACGATCTGTGTAGTGTTGTATTACTAGTAAGTTATCTGTGAACACACACACGGGTAACGATCTATGTAGTGATGT